ATCAAGTCACCACTGACTTATGGCGACCCCCAGCAAGGGGCTTTCAAGGCAAGCGAGAAACAGGAGCAGTTTGCCGACACTTTCCTCTGCAGAGCCTTCCTTGGTGGTCCCCGGTCCAAGTATTGACCATGCTTAGCTCCTGAGATCTGATGTAACTGGGCTACACCCAGGGCTATTTTGGGGCAGGAACACACAGGAACGGAGTTCTGGCTGGCTCCCAAGTTGGCCACGCCCAGCAGGAACTCATTAGCATAACAGGCCACGCCCAACAGCAGAAACTCATTAGGATTGGCTACATTAGGGGTGTGTGGCCTAACATGCAAAGGAGTTCCTGCTACAAAAAAGCCCTGGGTTTTGACAACAAACAAGGTAAACAGAATAAGAAGCAAAAGGTGGGTGTGGCTGGATGACCACACTTCTGGTAACATGTGGGTGCGGCCTAATGTGCTAATGAGCTGTGCTGTCAGGGGTGTGGCCCAATATGCTAATGAGTTTCTGCTGTTGGGTGTGGCCTATTATGCTAAACATTCCATATCCTCATACACACTACATTACATGTGAGTATTTCAGGTAGGCAAGTTCAAACGTTAAAGTGGAAAGAAAGTACCGTGTGCAAAGCGATCGCGAGCCAATGTGACAAGCACTTCCACACAGCAATGATGGGACGTTACCGATTCCCCCTCCCCAGCTCTGGATGTTTCCCCAGTCTGCAGGAACAGCTTTTAGAAGGTCCAAAGAAGTGCTATGGGAAAGGGGGAACAAAAACCCCAGTGCATGTACGGAACTCTCCATAGGGCCTTTTGAATGAACTTCTAATTTTAAAAAGCGTTACAAACTCAGCACTTACCCAAGCGTTAAGAAGTTCTACAGACAGCCAATACTAGGTCCCATACCTTTTGGGTGTTCAGGACCAGAAATTTACAGTGTTTTGAAATGATGTCTTTGCAAAAATAGAAACTGAGCAGGCTGTCAGCTAAGCAGCTGTCATAGCTGGTGGAGGGGTGGGGTGAAGGATGGTATGTTTCTGTAAAGGAATCTTAGGTTTCGTTTCTTCCTAACTCATCTTATCTTGTAGCCTAGGCCGGTGACTTTGGTACCTTTGGCTGCTTTCCCTGAGAACGTAGACTCGTTAGGTTAGGCAGGCTTTTGCTTGTTTCCTGACTGGTCCAGATCCCTCAGGGGGACCCCTTTGAATTATGTATAAGTTCCAGGGCTCTTTTTGTAGAAAAAGCCCAGCAGGAACTCATTAGCATAATAGGTCACACCCAACAGCAGAAACTCATTAGCATATTAGGCCACACCCCTGACAGCACAGCTCATTAGCACATTAGGCCGTACCCCCATGTTACCAGAAGTGTGGTCATCCAGCCACACCCACCTTTTGCTTCTTATTCTGTTTACTTTGTTTGTTGTCAAAACCCAGGGCTTCTTTTTGTAGCAGGAACTCCTTTGCATGTTAGGCCACACACCCCTAATGTAGCCAATCCTAATGAGTTTCTGCTGTTGGGTGTGGCCTATTATGCTAATGAGTTCCTGCTGGGCGTGGGAGCCAGCTCGGGAGCCAGCCGGAACTCCGTTCCTGTGCGTTCCTGCCCAAAAATAGCCCTGCTGTATAACTCCCCATTGTGCGCGCTTGCAATCAGTTCTAACACAGAATGTATGCACAGAAGACCTGCCTTTACTGTACTCAGTAAAGTTCACTCTTTTGAATGGAAGTTGTTGGGAACTTGTTAAGTCGCTCGCTTAACAATGAAGTCTGAGAGTGATTCAGCAAGAACACTTTATTCTTCCACTCGAACACAACTCCAACACGGATCAACATCTGACAGCCAAAACAGCCTTTACATTGCAGCTGTCCTGCTTTTAAACATTCCCAGCTAATGTGGCCACACCCACTGTACAAATACCAACCAATAAGGTTGTTTACCAATCACGGACGTTCCCGCTCAGGGAGCTTGCTAGAAGGTGATTGGTTAGGTGCTTCCTGGGCTAGTAACACGATTGGATGGATTTGGATCCTAGCCCAGGACGAAGCTTAACATTGTACTTCAATTAGATGTTTCACAACATATCAATGCTTCAAGGCAGCTTTGAATACACTACAGAACTGATTGCTGTAGGACTCTGACACAGGCAGACAGAAAGAGTTCGTAAAGTAGGATCAGTTCCCAATTCCCTTCTTGGTTCTGGTGAAACAGTGTGCAGAAACACGTGCTTTCCCACACTATTGACCATGGGTCCCAAAGTCATCAATAAGAAATGTATTCCTCACCCTTGTTTACCTGCTCCTGCACTGTTCAATGGAACCTTTGGTGGATTCCTTAGAGCCATTGCAGTTGCACCCAGTTCAGACATATAACCTATCTTGCCCACAACTTACTATCTCATTGCACTTTCCCAGGCTCCACTGGGTGAGTCTCCAACAGAGGTGTCCTTGTCCCAACGGGATTCAAACTTAGATGGACTGTAATTTATGGCACTGTTTGTAGAAGGGATCCCCAAGCTTTTTGAGCTTGCTGGCAACCTTTGGAATTCTGACAGTGTGGTCGGCACAGCCACAACACGGCTGCTACTGAAGTCCGTCATAGCTTATCTTCAGTCAGACAGTGAAGGTCTTTGTGCCAATCAAATTTCCAAAGGCCAATCAGGAGCCTTTGCTAGGCGCTCTGCCCACATTCTTAAAACATGCTGTAGGTGCCAGAAAATGTGTCAGGAGGCACCACGGCACTTGTGGGCAACCTGGTTTATAGTAAGCAGGCCTTGGTTTTACTGCACTGTTTTCTGATTTCTGTAATCCAGTTTTTTTGAATTTCTTATGTCATATCAGACTGTTTATGGCCACTTCTGCACTGCCATTTTTTGTCACCCGTTTGTCCCTATTGCTTTTGGTCTGTCCCCCCACACACACCTTTTTCACATGTGTTTTGCTCCCTCTGGGACTACTAGAGAGAGCAAAACACATTGGGGGGGGGGAACCCCGAGAGCCAGTTTGGTGTAGCGGTTAAGTGTGTGGACTCTAATCTGGGGGAACTGGGTTTGATTCCCCACTCCTCCACATGCAGTTGCTGGCATGACCTTGGGCAAGCCATAGTTCTGACAAGAGCTGTCCTTGAAAGGGCAGTTCTCAAAAAAGCTCTCTCAGCCCCACCTCCCTCACAGGGTGTCTGTGGTGGGGAGGGGAAGGGAAAAGCGTTTGTAAGCCGCTCTGAGACTCTGAATGAAGGGCGGGGTATAAATCCAATCTCTTTTTCTTCTACATTTCTTTCTAATATCGGGATCAAATTTTATAATACAATGATTATTGCATTTCTTATACTGTTCCTATTGCATTGTTAAATTTTGTAATCCTCCTTGAGTCTCAGTGAGAAAGGGGGACTATAAAGTGGGTTAGCATATCTCCCACCATACTACCTTTCAAGTTATGCTGAAGGGAATGAAAGCAGAGGTGCTGCTCTGGAAGGACCACATTATTGTTTAATCAGCATTTTATATACGCAAGAAGCACAACACATGAAAAGTGGAGTTGTGTAACTGCTATACACATTGGGAAGCAACCTCCAGTTCTGAACTTAGAATATTTTTGTATTTTGAAAAAGCTCATACTAGACCAGGGGTGGCCAAAATGTGGCTCAGAGCCACATGCAGCTCTTTCACGCATACTGTGAGGCACAGAGGCTGGGGAAGCCAAAGGGAGCCATGCCCTTCCTTCCTTCCTTCCTTCCTTCCTTCCTTCCTTCCTTCCTTCCTTCCTTCCTTCCTTCCTTCCTTCACCTTTTTGCTTTTTGGTGTAGTGGTTAAGTGCGCGGACTCTAATCTGGGAGAACCGGGTTTGATCCCCCACTCCTTCACTTGCACTTGCTGGATGACCTTGGGCAAGCCATAGTTCTGACAAGAGCTGTCCTTGAAAAAGAGCAGTTTCTGTCAGAGCTCTCTCAGCCCCACCACTACCTCACAGTGTGTCTGTTGTGGGGAGCGGGAGGGAAAGGAGTTTGTAAGCCGCTCTGAGACTCCCTTGGGTAGTGAAGGGCGGGGTATAAATCCAATCTCTTCTTCTTCTTCTTCTTCTTTTATTTTTGGCAGTCTAATTTAATGTTAATAAAAAGCAAATCTGCATATTTTAAAATAAAAAACAAGTTTTTAATATCTGTTCATGTCTTGTGGCTCTCAAACATCTGACGTTTATTCTATGTGGCTCTTACGTTGAGCAAGTTTGGCCACCCTTGTACTAGACGTTTCTGGATCCACAGTCCTGAACAGGACAAAATATCAGCTCCTAGGAGACAAGGCATTTTGAATGGTTTCAGCAGGCCAAGAAAACCAGCACACCAACAGACGAGATACCAACCGACTCCACTATTTGCTCAGATCCACAATGGAGACGCAGGAAAACTAAGCCAGATGAACTCCAAGTCTTAAATCAACTAACCACAATTCTTCCAAAGTGTTGATACAAGAGAGAGACCAAGGGGATACATGTGAGTACAAACTGATGTGCCATGCCCTGAAAACAATGCTCTTATGAGACAAGTGAGGGCAGGAACCGTTTCTTTGAAGGTGAACAGCGGGGGCCAGAGGCAATAAGAACTCAGTTTCAATTTGCTTGTATATTCCGATTGAGGTTTTCCCTAGTCATCTGGCAAACAATGAAAGGGCTTGTTTTTCCTCTGTAAGGTTTTGCTTTCTTGCCAAAAATACTTGGGTCCACTTCCGCATATGTATGCTCACTTTCGCATCCAGGCGAACAGTGCCAAGTGCTGTTACTTGAGTGTGACAGAAGCCATAATTAAAGCACACATTTCATCAACATTTCCTTCCAGAAAATTCCAGGTTCCGTCACTGCTATCTAGATTTTTTTAAGGAACTTGTGTAACAGAGCTGGGAAAGTCATTTCTCTGGCTGAGATCCCGGAGAGCAGCTTTTAGTCAAATAGATAACATGGGTCTGACTACGTATAAGGAAACTTCATATAAATTCCGTACATTAAAAAAAAACCCAGGATGACTTGGCCTTATCTTTCAAACATGCTAAATAAATGCAGTTCAATCCACTTCAGTTGTAAAGTACACTGAAAGTGGATTGAAAGTGCATTATTTAGTCTTAGGGCTCTTCCGCATTCTGATTTTCATCACTTCTGTGTCCCTATTGCTTCAGGGGTTCTTCCCCCCCAATGTATTTTGCTCTCTCTAGTAGTTCCAGAGGGAGCAAAACACATGTGGAAAAGGGGTGGGGGGAACCCAAAGCAATAGGGACAAATATTTGTACCCTAAGGTGTGAGCTCTTTGGAGAAGGAGATCTATATATTTCAGGCTATAACCTCTTCTGAACCTTAGGCTGCCAACATCCAGGTGACACCTGGAGATCTCTTGCTATTATAACTGATCTCCAGACTACTAAGACCTGTTCCCCTAGAGAAAATGACTGCTTTGGAGGGTGGACTCTGGTATTATATCCTGCTGCAGTCCCGCCCATCTCCAAACTCCTCCCTCCCTGGGCTCCACCCCCAAAATCTCCAGGTATTTCCCAACCTAGAGCTGGCAACCCTATCTGAACCAAAGAGCCATACATTTTTCAAAATAAGTAATAAATAAAGCATTGTGCTGGGCCAGGGATCCCCAGTCTTTTTAAGCCTGTGGGCACCTTTGAAATTCTGACACAGTGTGGTGGGCATAGTCACAAAATGGCTGCCGCTGGAGGCAAAGTCAACCATAAAATGGCTACCACAGCTTACCTTCAGTCACACAGTGAATATCTTCATGCTGTGGGGGTAGGTGCTCCTATAGCAATGTTCAGGGGTCATTTCATAGAAAAAGAGGTGCAGGAGCTCATTAGCATAACTTATTAACATAACTTATTTGCATATGCCACACCCCCTGACATCACCGGAAGTGTGTCAGAAGGCAACACCCACCGCTTAGGGAGAGCTTGTACCTGAATAAAACTTGGTCTTAAAGGTGCCACTGAACTGTTTTGGATTGCAGCTTGGGGGGGGGGGGACGTGCAGATCTGTCCTCGCAGAGGAGGGAGAGCTTGTACCTGAATAAAACTTGGTCTTAAAGGTGCCACTGAACTCTTTTGGATTGCTAGCTATGGGGGGGACACACACGCAGATTTACCCTCACAGAGAAGGGAGAGCTTGTACCTGAAGGCGGAGGGGGGGCTCTGCAACTTATCTAGCTGCTTCTTGCTCTTCATGACCCAACTGAGAGCTGCTGGGAGCAGGAGGCGGGGCTTATTGCATGTGCCCGCCCCCTGGGCTCCTTACTGCCGGAGCTCCGCTCCTGTGTGCTCCTGCAGGAAATTACCCCTGGCAATGTTCTTAAAAATCTGCATGGCCAGTCAAATCTCCAAAGGCCAGTCAGGAGCCTTGCTAGGCAAGAGCCTCACCGGGCCAGGCCCACTTTCTAAAAATGCTTGGCAGACCCCTGAAAGGGTGACAGTGGACTCCTTGGCACTCCCTAGCACCATGTGATACAAAGTCACAGAAGATCTGGGCTGAAAAAAATATTACTCAGGAGTCCGCATTTATCATCTTGCAGAATGTCAAGCCTTGTATCAGGGCCGGTGTCAAGGGTAGGCTGCAGGGCTCTTTTTGTAGCAGGAACTCCTTTGCATATTAGGCGACACACCCCTAATGTAGCCAATCCTCCAAGAGCTTACAGAGCTCTTCTTACAGGGGCTACTGTGCCTAAGCCGCTTAGGTGAGCACTGGCCAGCCAATGAGACCTGCTGGTAACCTGCCTCATCACTCAGCCTTGATTTAGGCTCATTCTGTAATCTTGACCAAGTCACTATAGCTTTTTCAACCTATTTCTCTGGATTCCTTAGAGATATTTGTCTACGTACTTAATTTGTACTCTGCCTTTCTTCCTAACAGGGACTCAAAGGGGGAAAGGGGGCCTGGTTATACTCTCTTGCCCAGGGCCTACAAAAACCTAGAACCAGCCCTGTGTTGTATAGTATCAACAAGGACTGGCACACTGCAAATAGAGTTTCATCTCTCTCAGATATTTTACTCTGTCGTGCAGAGAAGGCGACTTTCCTAAGATTCCCAGTGAGGAGCTATCAAAAGTCAATATTTATGCTGTTTGAGGCAGTGTTAAAATCTGATTCCATTATGATTCCATTATTTATTTAAAACATGTACAAGCCCACCTTTTTACCAAGCAACTGGGACCCCTCTTCCTAAACTACCTTGATCCCAGAGATGCATGGATTAGTTTAAAATGGCCTGGAGTTAAGGTTACGTTTTTTTTTCAAGCTTTGACTGCATCACAGGGCATCCCTCCTTTTCAAACCAGGATTCTTCCTCCACCGGAATGACTGCTTCCCTCACACTGGCCTATGTAAAAGCCAAAGCAGATCTTAACAAGCAGGGCTTTTTTTTCTGCCAGAACAGAGTTCCGGAACCTCTTCAACAGAATTCTTTTTAAAATGTTTAGAAGTTCATGAGTTTTCAGTATACAGATTGAAAACTTCATTTCCCTCTTGAGGGTTCTGTAGGGTTGCCATCCCCCCCAATGGGGGTGGGGTGTTCCCCGATTTCGGGGGGCCCAATTTGCAACTGGCCAGCTAGCCAGCGGGGGGAGCCCCATCCATGAAGAGCTCCGATGTGCCCAAGATGCCCGACACGATGATGCCACCTGGAAATGACGTCATTGCACCGGGCATGTCATGTGGGGGGATGCTCTAGCATTCGGCCAAAAACTCTATGGTGACCATAGAGCTTTTGGATGAATGCTAGTGTCCCCTACACGGTGACAAGCACAATGACATCACTTCTGTGTGATGTCATTGCAGTGCACGCCAGAAGACCCCAAGTGGCAGCCAGGAGCCCCCTGCCAGCAGACGGTAGGCACCTGACAACTCTAGAGTTCTGGCACCTCTTCCCCCCCCCAAAAAAAAGCCCTGCCTACAAGTAACAAGAGCCACGACACAGGCACCCAAACGAATACATCCCCAAGGTCTAGCTTCCCTTCTGTTTACTTTCCTCTGGAAAGTGATCCCAAAAAGTCTACAGTTGTTGCCCCAAACAGCAAAAGCCAACAACACTTAAGTTCCTCTGCTTTGAGCTAGTCTCTGAAAACCAGGGCTATTTTTGGGCAGGAGTGCACAGGAACGAAGTTCTGGCTGGCTTCAGAGTTGGCCACACCCACTACAGCCAAAACCTCTGCGTGCGTGGCTACAGAGGGAAGGCCTGGAAAATAACACACACATCTCGGCGACTCTGAGGCAGGTAGGCCGGGGGGTGGGCTGGAAGGATCGAGGGGGCATTTAAATGCCTCCCCGTGACTTCCCCAGCCTGTCCAACATGCGTGCTGAAGCTCCCACCACCCGCAGGATGCCCAAGCAAGCCAAGGGAAGGCAGTTTAAATTGCCTTGCCTTCCCTTCAAGGGGAGGCTTGCCCAGGCTCCCCAAGGGACGGCATGGGGGTGTGGCCTAATATGCAAATGAGCTGTGCTGTCAGGGGTGTGGCCTAATATGCTAATGAGTTTCTGCTGTCGGGTGTGGCCTATTATGTTAATGAGTTCCTGCTGGGCTTTTTCTACAAAAAGAGCCCTGCTGAAAACTAAGCCAGCCAAAGGCTAGTCACGTATGCCTACAATATTAAACATTCAAACACCCATGAAAGCCACTTCTGCTGTGGGTTGTGTTCTACTGAGAATTTGCCAGCCTCCATGAACGGTTCCTCCAATACTCACCGTGGCTGGGACCCCATCCAACTGACGGGCACCATGGTTTGACACCAGGATTCCATTTACGCCATGCTCCACTGCTCTCCTAGCATCATCAGCTGGGAAGTTTTAAAAAAGGAATGAATATGTATAGGTTGTAACTCAAGGCAGTTGTCAATGTGATGGCTACGAAATCCATTCAATTAATACAGAATGCCAAGTTTTCAGCTTTTCAGAGGAACATTTCTCACGCAGCTCTGTTCAGCAGCTAAGGTCTGAATAACGACACAGTGAATCAAATTCAAGTTCACCAGTCTATCATATCTCATACCCAAAGGCACCATCTTTGATTGAGGTTTATAAGATTATGCATGGGATAGAGCAGGTAGAGAAAGAGGTACTTTTCTCCCTTTCTCACAATACAAGAACTCGTGGGCACTCCATGAAATTGCTGAGCGGTTGGGTTAGAACGGATAAAAGGAAGTACTTCTTCACCCAAAGAGTGATTAACACATGGAATTCACTGCCACAGAAGGTGGTGGCGGCTACAAGCATGGACGGCTTCAAAAGGGAATTAGATAAGCATATGGAGCAGAGGTCCATCAGTGGCTATTAGCCACAAGGTATAGCTAGGGGCTCTGGGGCAAGTGATGCTCTGTCATCTTGGTGCTTGGGGGGGGGGGTCAACAGTGGGAGGGCTTCTAATGTCCTGGCCCCACTGCTGGACCTCCTGATGGCACTGGTATTTCTGGCCACTGTGTGACACAGAGTGTTGGACTGGATGGGCCTTTGGCCTGATCCAACATTGGCGTCTCTTATGTTCTTATGTTCATCTCCCAGCTCTGCCAATGGCCCATTCTCCTTCTAGCGTTCGCTGCACTGTTTTACCAAACCCACATTGGAACAGAAATCCCCCTCTACATTGCATGTCACTTTCACTTTCTTTGATTGTCGGATTTTATGGTAGCCTCCACACTCCAGGCCAGTTTCACTCCCTTCGATCTCTCAGTCTTATGGTACCATCTGCATAGATTTATGGCTCTTTTATGGCCATTCAGAGGTGACTCTGCAGTCAGTATGGTGTTGGCTCGCGGTATCTGAATGTTGTTTTGAGCTGCATCTTTTCCTGTTCCAGTGTGGGTTTGGTAAAACAACGGAGCGAATGCTAGATGCAGAATGGGCCAATATCCCTAGTACTCTTATATGAAGGTCCGGTATGTAATATCACTGGTGATTAATTCTACCAAGACTAGCCTGAGAGAAGTTTCCTGTAGACAAATTAATATGTTCACGGGAATCATTGACGCATTTTAATATCATCATCTCATGACTTTCAAATGGTTTTTGATTAATTTCAGCAATTGGAAGAAGCATCCTGATTCCACATATGAGCAGTTCGGAAGAGAACTGGAGCCCGTGCATACAGCACATTGACAAAGTTCCAGCATTGCTATTTCCTGTCACATCTGTCGCTACGTTTAATTAATGTCCATTACTTTCCAATATGGTTGCCATTCCCCAGGTCTGGGTGATGAATCCCCCAATTCTGGGGCCTTCTTCCCGCCGCCGACCAGCTGGCTGATGGGGGAAGCCCCACCCACAAACAGCAACGTCCCCATGCAATGTCCCTGACACGATGACATCACCCAGATGTGACATCACTGTGACGGGGGGTGTCAAGCAGCAACGCACTGGTTTGGTGACATCACCCAGATGTGACATCACTGTGCCCAGAGTGTCAAGCAGCAATGCACTGATTTTGGGGCAAAACTCTGATTTTACCATAGAGTTTTGCCCCAAAACAAGAGCGTCACCCCTGATGTTGCCGACACGATGACATCACTTCTGGGTAATGTCAGTGCATCAGGGACGTCCCTGCCCATTCCCAGAATGCCTCCCAGGTCCCCCTGCTGGCAAGACAAGGGGACCTGGCAACCCCTTTAGAAACAGTCTTTTTGGTATGGATCCTATACTTTCCTTCTGTTTGTGCAGCTCTTCTCCGTTCCAGAGCACATTTCTTTGGCTGTACGTGCTTTCTGCTCACTAGAAGACACTGGTTTTGCAAGGGGGGGGGTGTCATCTAGCACTGGAGGAATGCGCTCAGCAAAGGGGGACAGCACTGACATTCAAAAGCTATAGGACCCGAGCCAGCATATTTCAGCATTAGATTTCTCTTTAGGCCCATGGAAGCTTCCTTCTGCTGAAGTCTATACTGGTGAAACACTCAAGAACATACGTATACCTAAGTACAGCCAAAATACAAATGGGCTGTAGTTTTCTTTCTCTGTTTGCATGCAGCAGGTCCCAGGTTCAGTCCCTGGCATCTCCAGTTAAAAGGATCAGGTGGTTGGTGTTGTGAAAGACCTCAGCCTGAGATCCTGGAGAGCTGCTACCAGTCTGAGTAGATAATAGTCACTCTGATGGACCAAGGGATGGACCAATTCAGTATAAGACATGTGTTCTGAGAGCCACTGAAATGTACCAAACCACGACTTTCCTTATTAGCTTTCACCAACATTGGGGCACTGCTAGAAAATTTTCTTAAGCCAAAAATATTCTGCTGTAATTGTATCATTTTTCGTGAGCAGGTCTTCTGTTGGATTTTTAAAAATGAATTGAAATGCATATCTTACTGTAAATTGCTCAGAGGGTACTTTCCCATAATGAAAAGCAGAATGTGTGTGTGTGTGTGTGTGTGTGTGTGTTAAGTGCCGTCAAGTAGCTTCCGACTTATGGTGGCCCTACGAATTAATGTCCTCCCAAACATCCTATCATGAACAGCCTTGCTCTCGTCTTGCAACCTGAGGACCGTGGCTTCCTTGATTCAGTCAGTCTATCTCACGTGGGCTGCCTTCACCTTTCTCCAGTGACTCTTGTCTTCTCATAATGTGACCAAAGTACGATAGCCTAGGTTTCCTCATTTTAGCTTCCAGGGAGAGTTCAGGCTTGATTTGATCTAGAACCCATCTATTTGTCTTTTTGGTGGTCCATGGTGTCCGTAAAACTCCCCTCCTAGGGATGGGCACAAGCCCATTCATGAGCCAAAATATGGCACAAACTTTGTTCAGCTCAGAGCCCCCAAATCAATGTTTGGGGAAGGTGTCTTCCCCAAACATTTACCAAACTTTTGTTTGGTTCGACTATTCAGGGCCATTTAAACCAAACAGCTGAGCAGCACAGATCTGCAGCTGACCTGTTTTACTTCCCTCCACTTCAAAGCCAGGGGGAGTCAAGCAGACTGGTGAAAGGGCTGACAGCTATTTCAACCTAACAGCTGACAGATGCACTGCTCAGCTGTTAGGTTTAAATGGCTGCAAGCCATTAAACCCATTGGTTTTGCTCCCCCTCCCCACTTTGAAGTGGGGGAAGAGAAAAGGACAGGTTAGATGGCTGCCAGACGTTTAACCTTTCCCAGGTGATCCTCCCCTTTCTCCTGGCCATTGTGATCCATAGGCGGGAGAAAGTGGGAACCAAACTTGCTGTACCAGCTTGGTTTGTGCGGGTGCCTTTGCTTCGGTTCAGGGTTCTGTTTGAGGACTGCCCCCAAACCCAAACTGGATTTTTTAGGTTTGTGCCCATCCCAATCTCCTCCAACACCACATTTAAAGTGGGATATCAACAGTTTAATAAATAAAACGAATAAAGCAACCTCTTGCAACATAAAATCTCTTCCAATAGCCTACAAACCTCTGAGGATGCCTTTAGCAACAATTGGCAAGGTCGTTAGACCTCTGAGCCACCTCAGATCCTCCCATTTAATCGATGGATCGATTGCCTCAGAAACATAGACAGACAGGCCACTGTCTTCTCCATAGCCCTCCTCAGATGAAAATGCCAGGTCATTTGTTTCAAAGTTTTTCATTCTGAAATTAAGAGGAAAGTTTCAGAAAACACAAAGTTAAGATGCTGAGCTGCAGACCGGAAGGTCAGTGGTTTGGCAGTTTGAGACCAGAGTGCCGCGTGCAGGGCCGGCTCGAGGTGCTTCTGCGCCCTAGGCAGGCGCAGATGCCAACCTCCCGGTGGAGCCTGGGTACCCTTTTGCTGCCGCCTCCTCCTCCCCCCCAGGGGGGAGGGGAAGGGCGGGTGAGCTGCAGCGCGGGTCTGGCTCGGGGGCGGGCGGCATGGAGGGGCGGAGCTGCCCGGGCGGCAGCGCAGCTCAGGGGAGAGATCGGCCAGCTGTGTGTTTCAGCCCCACCACCGCTGCAGCTCACAGACCCAAGCCCCCTTGCCAGGGGGTGGGGCAGTGGGCGGCAGCCAATGAGGTGGAACAGCAGGCTGGGATTTCCCCCGGGGAAGCCTGGCCACGTGGACAAAGCGGGGCCCCTTTCTGAGCCCCCCATCCCCATTTCTGACTGTCCAGTCGTGCCCTGCGGCACCCAATGGGGGGAGGGAGACGAGGTGGAGGGCCTCCCCCAAGGCGGTCAGGTGTGCGACCCAGCAGAAGCAGGGCGGTCTACCAGAATCGACACCCCTTCCATCAATGAACTTTCCCAGGGAATGGGCAGCGCAGCATCCTCATGGCGGGTGTGGACCAGGGAGGAGGAACTTGCTTCGAAGGGGAAACGGCCCCGGCTACCACCAAGCCCTTTCCGGGAGAAGCCAAGCAGAGCTGCCACCGTGCCCGTCGGAAGAAAATGAGAAGGGGCCGGGCCGCCCGACTGCCTGCCCCAAGGGCTCCACGGCAGGACAGGCCGCGCCGCACCACCTCAAGCAAGGCCAGCCCCCTCCTCCTCCTCCTCCTCCTCCTGGGGCGCCGGTGGGGCTTTCACTTCTCGGCTCGGCGCCCTGCAGGCAGGTTCGTGCAGCCATGCCCCGCCGCGCCCCTCCCCCGGTTTCTGGGGTGTGTGACTGAGAGCTGCCTTCCCTCCCCCGACGTGGCACACCCCCCCAGCGCCTCCAGCTGGGGGGGGAGGGCAGGGACCCTCGCCGGGCAGCTGCCGCACCTGGCGCTGCTGCCAAGGCTGCGCTGAGCTGTGCCGAGGAGGAGGAAGAGGAGCCCCCCGCCCCCCATGGCGCCCTCTGCCTTCTCGCAGCCTT